GGAAATTAGAAGGGAGACGAGGAAAATGATTCTTTAAACGGAAAATGATTCGGACTTTAAAAGGACGCTGCGAGGAAAACAGATTAATGGGACACGTTTTGTTTAAATAACTTTTTCACGAGAACAATTTTTCTTTTGCGCAATTTTTACGCCGTTAGACGCAATCTAGGTGGAGGTCGAAGCCCACTCTAAGCCCCGCCCACAGATCAGTGGCCCCGCCTACTACCAAGAGACTGGCTTGGCTGCTCGACGGAACAGGCTAAGAAGCGTAGTGTCTCCTTTTCGCGTCATCCGACTAGAAGTCTAAGAGCGCCTGCTACTCGTGCGAGCAGACGAGTGGCAGCCTCCGGCATCCTCTGCTATTTTACCGCCCTCTATTGTGGTGTGCAATGCCTTGAGACGCAGACGCGTAAGCTGCGCGTCGGCGTCCGTTTTCGCCTGCGACCGTCTGCTATTCGTCCCCCGGCTAAAAACTTTTGCAACGCTCAGAAGACGCGACTATGAAAGCGGCGTTGTAGCGTTCCATCATGCACGAGCCACGGTCCAATACAAGCGTCTGTCAGCGTCTATCGATGTGCGTAATAAGTAACCGAGAGAGCTAAAAAATCAACAAAATAAATATGCCCTTTTTCTAGCTTTACTGTTCCCATGATGTTTTTCACGTGGCATTCGGGAGCAAGATGAATGACCGTCATGACCCGAAATCAAAACGCGACGTAAAAATATTCGCTTAAGTAGGCCAGGCGCACTGCAAAAACGCTTGCCTTTCGAGGCGGAATGACGGGAACATACCTAACAAACTTGATGCGAACCGAGCTCCCAATTGCCTCCAACCTTATGGCTCGCAAATTCTTGCCTGTGTAGGTATCTTCTCAGCATTGAAACCATGGTCATGTACGCGACGGTTGCATAGTCCACAGAGCAACGGTGCCGCTTTTGCCGAAACGAGCATCCTTATTAAGCATCAACTCGCGCAAAGAAAGAAATCAAGCCAGATTGATCAAAATATTTGATCTGGGACGCTATACTTCGTTTCAGCTTAGGTCCGACCGCGGCAGATGTTATGAGCCGAAGGGCCAATCAGACAGCGAAAGAGGCACAACGTCATGGTGTGCTCTATGCAGTTGATAGGACAAGCCGGTATTCGGCGTTTCTCTGTGCGTGCTCCTCTGCCGGCTAGTTCTATAAAGCGCAGATAGTACTCCATGACTGTGCGCTTTTTGCGCTGTATGATTGGCCCTTCGGCTCGTAGCATAGGCCGTGCTCGGACCTAAGCTGAAACGAAGTATAGGCTTAGATCCTTCCTGCTACGACAACAAGCATTCGCACAGCACTTCCGGAGGCGCGTACTGGCGGCAGTTGTTTGATGTGAACTACGACGGTTGAGGAGATCTTCCTCTAAATACCTGTGAATCCAAAACCACTCACGCTCATAAAAAGTGACGAGCTCCTTCAGTGTCGCTCGTTTAGCTATGATGCCTGGAGCGGGTCTTCGACTGGTGTGTTTAGCGTCCTAGTCTGCCCACACATCAAAGGTGGTCTCAACGAATGACGTCACAGACGTCGAAGTGTCATGCTGTTGCATGTCGCGATCTTCGCGGTTGGTCGTAGAAATGCTCACGGGAGCTGCGAGTAGCACAACCGAACGCGAGTGTCGCTGTCGACACGACGCCCTAACTTCTGGCTGCCGACGCTTTCGTGGACTGCCACACTGGAGAGCGACCTGCACCAGAACAGGTGTCTGCCACATACTCCCAAAACAGGCGTTTCAACAGGTGTGGTGTGTGACATACAACACAGCTATCCGGACGTTGCGAGGATCGCGACTGGTGACAGCGTGACACTACTATGACGTCATCAGTCGGAAATGGAGGGTCCACATTTTTAGACTTGATTTGAAACTTGACTTGACCAAAGACTTGTCTTGAGAGTACAAAAAAAAGAAAAAGAGTACTTGCCTCAACGAGCATCTCGCCGTTCGCCCCAACGGCAGACGCACCGAGTACCTCATGACCGAGACCGTACTTAGCGGGCCTCCCGAGTGCCATCACAGCAAGGGACTCATCGGGGTTCTCATAACCGTGAAAATTCGGACAAATGACTGCTTCAACGGGCCTTCTGCCGTCCGTCTCAAACTCAACGGCGGGCGCGATGAGTGCCTCATATGACCGAGAACGTTTTTAGCGAGCCTCTCACATGCTTGTGGTGCAAGCCGTTCTCTTCTCCTGATGGGCCGAAGGCGGCTGCGACGGCTGGACCTTCAGGAGCGCGTTCTCCACTTTTTCGACGAATAGCTGGCGTCTACCACCGTCGGCTCCTGCCGTTTCCCTGCATCCATGTTTGGAGATGTTCGCTGCACACTCAATGGGCGTTTCTTGGTTGTCCGCACCGGTAAAAGCGAAGCCAGGCTTGGATTTGCGCGCTCGTGTGGCAAACTTTTCAAGACTGGTATGCGCAAGGATCAAGTACTCGGGGAGCGGTATCGTCAACCGATTCGTAAAACTCCATTCTGGTTTTCCCATTCCTCAAGGCACCCAGACCGCGCGAAGGATGGTACAAGGGCTTTGCTTCTTAATAGAGGAGGCCGATACCGGAGCTCAGTAAAAAGGTCCGCTTGAGTCGCCGTTGCAGCCTTTACCATCTCGTCCAGATCCCCAAGACTCTACGCCCCGTGAGATGTGGGAGGAAGCGTGGGTGGCTTTGTCGGATAGCCCATGCTACTTTTTCTGCATTTGAGGCCGCCGCGTCAGCAAGGTCCTACATCCTCTGGAAGGCCCCTACGAAGTCTATGAGCGGCTCCTTCGGGTATTCCGTGAGGGCACGGTGCTCGTCCTGCATCCGAATTTTGTAATCCGGTGGCAGGAACGCCCGTCTAAATCGCGAGACAAAATCCGCCATACCCAGGAAACTTGTTTTATCCTTCTCCAGAGCGCTGTGGTATCCGTCAACGCGACCGGAAAAAGACGAGTGAGCACAGTTTCATTGTCAGTTCCCGAGGCAGCTTCGTTGTCTGAGAGTTCAGAGACGTACATCGCCACTGACGTCTTGTCTGCATACCCCGAAACAACTGGAACGCCCATCGAAAGCCGTAGGTAATCCTTCGGGGGCGAGGTTCTACCATCATCGGGGCTTGACCGCGGTCATCTGCTCCCATTGTAACTGAAGAAACATGGCAAGGCCATTCCTACTTATGCTAGACACCCGTCTGATGCTGCGCCTACTAGAACTGAGACTGCAGGCTAAGCTTGTGGTTTCTTGTCCCTGGCGGCGCTATCCCCAAGTGCACCGAGTGTCACATCGTCGTCATCACTCACACAAACGTGAGTGGTGGTCAAAGAAGTTTCAAATGGTCGAAGAAGTTTAGGCTTGGGTGACGAAGGCTCGTCTATACCCTTCGCTGTGAGACGCGCGAGTTGTTCATGAGGGCCGCCGGATTCGTCACCGCTGCCTCTCCTTCACCGGAATAACTTTTAACAAACCTAACAAACCGAAGGTAAGCGCGGAAATAGAGAGCTCAGTTCGCTCGAGTGACTTCGAAGAGACAAATCTTCGCAAATGCGCGCAAACTTAGAAACGCCAATTGACTATGTAAAAGGCAAAAAGGAACCAGTTCGCGCCCCTTCTCCCAGACGAGCAGCATATCACGGTTGGGCGCCACTGTAGAACTTTTCTAGCTGCTATACCCGTCTTGGAGAAGGACACAACGCACTGGTTCAAAAACACGTCGTCATTTATTGCACTTGCGATCCCAAGGGCCCCGCGTATGCTTCTCCGCCGGCCTTTTGTCAGCGGCGGAGCGTCGCTCCCCTGGTCGATTACAATTCGCCACGTCGTGGTGGAAATCACGAGAGGCGATTTAACGTGCGGGCAACCTGGTCGAGCGCCGTCGATGACCAGACTGCCTACGAGATGCGCGAGAGCGGAGATTTCGAAAACTCTGGATATGGCGTCACGTTCCGGGGAGGAGGGTCGTCAGCGGTACTTTGAAAATGATTTCTTGCACTCTCCGTGCACCAAATTGAAGAATAATCTTGATATGCGTGACCCTTGAGGCAAAACGGAGACGGTTTAAGCGTTTGTTTTTTTCAAATACAGAACCGTTTCGGTTTCCCTTTAATAAAGTGGGAAAACCTGAAAAACGCCGCAGTTCCAGCTCAAACCGCGTTATCGACACGCCGACCCGCGTGGTCATCGTATAGTTGCAGCTGAATCCCACCCTACGGTAGGGCCTCCTCCTTTCCGGTCGGAGAAAACTGTTTGTGGATGTTGCATCTTGATAATCTGCCGCCGGCTCATATTTCTCGACGCCATCCGAGTTCACAGCCGCCGTGGAGTGGCGTCTCAGTTACGCGTACAGAACTGATATTTTTTAACCGGATTAACAGAACACCAGGGTCAAAGTTTTAGAAGTTGTCGTAGGGTTGGTTCTATTGTATTTAGCTTACGTGGATGGTATACAATTATATATATTAACTTTGCGTCAAGCGTACCTGCCAAAATGACTGAATTTCATTTGGCAGCAGGGTAGACGCAAAAGGACAAGGTGCCGTGGACGAGTGATCACCACACATCTTTCAACGCGTGTACATCATAACCATTTTTTTAATCAGATCTAGTTTTCTTCAATAGAAATATGGACTTTGTAGCTGGGTAATTTTGGCTATAATCCTTAGCAGGACACTTCCCCGGCTCATACTTGGGCCATTTTGGCGCAAGCCTGTGCCAGGCTTGAACCAAGTTGGTTCTCGTTCGCGCCATTCCAGCCCAAGCCTGGGCCGAGGAAGCCTGCTACTTGGAATAAAGTTTTTACGGTAGGAGTATTAAATACCTTGTTCTTTTTTTAATATTTTTGTACATCCTTTTTGTGATTTAAACTCACTACAAGTAGCGATACTGCATGAGTGTTGATCAAGTCATATATATTTTTTGATTGGCTGAGCTGCTTGATGAGGCAGTTCTCGTAATATTTCAGCTCAATTAAAAAAAACAATTCGAACCAAATGAATTTATGTCCGGACTTGTGGGTGAGAGTTTGTCCAGAGTCTACAGAAAAGACTAGGAGATCCACAGCAAACGCTCACCTACAACGGCCGTCTTCGTAAAAAAAACTGTCTTTTTGCAGCAAGCCCAAGCTGGGTTCGTCTGGGGTACGTACTCAGCAGTTGCAGCTGGTGTTCTCACATTCGTCGTTCTCCTATGGCTTCGCCAAAAGTTTGGCAAGAAGCAAACCTTGCCACCAGGACCCAGGGGTCTGCCTCTCCTCGGATACTTACCGTTCCTCGAGAAGAATCTCCACGTGAAACTGCGAGACCTTTCGCGGGAGTACGGGCCTGTCTTTGGGTGAGTCTCAAAGGTGTATGTTTCATCCACACAACTAGCGTCCCGGATCATAAGAGAATAGAACGGTCCGACGCCAGAGCTTCGAAGCTCTTTATATGTTTCGTTTTCCAAGTTGAGACGAGTGTGCCAGTTAAGGACGTGCGCTTTTGGCGCTCCAGACTCGTCAGACACATAGTTGGAGTCGACAGCTCGCGTGAAACGCCGACTGGACTTCGGCAACAAAAATGTGACATCATCGTCGCGAACGTCCAAAAAGCACCCGCTCCGCTAACTTTAGTTCCAGCTATCTGTTTGACGAGTCTAGGACCACTGGGGCGGTTTGCTCATCTCGTGGCCGCGGTTGCGGCCAAGAGGGAATTATACGCCACGTGACGAGCTCCATAGGGGCATGGAAGTACCTCGTCCCTGCCTAATGGTAGAGGTGTCCGTGTCGCTTCGAGTACAAAAGTTTCATTTCGCTCGCAGAAACTGATCGCAGAGGCTTTCAACTGGAATCCGATTAACCGCCTTTTTATACTCAAAAAGCGGCAGGCAAGTTACGTACAAAGACGGTAAATAAGAGCCTAAATAAAAGAGAAATCGCGCGAGATAAAAGCGGTGGCAGTATATTTATATATCTGCGCCAGCGATCCGCCTCAAACCGTGTGCTGTAGTCGAGCAAAAAGAACAGCCGGGATTGTCGCACCGCAAAAGTTCCGGGTTCACGTCGGGTCATACTGCTTTTGTTTTTATAAATTTATATTTTTTGTGTGTGTTTATTTTTTGACGTTTTTATTTTTTTTTAATGGACAGAACTGTGGTGTGTATCAGTACTAAATAGGCGCTTTTTGTTACTGAAAAGACTCCTAGAAAGCCCGCTGCATATAAAAAAAAACACATAAAATTGTATATAATATAGTAAGGGTGCAGGCGAGCTGGTGAATGTTAACCATGTTGAATAACCTGAGACTGGGGCAGAAGAGAACAAATAAGTCGAAGGAACAGAAACGGACAAGACGACGTCTCAAACTCAGCTATCAGGTTTATTTAGTCCTACTCCTTATATAGCCCGCAATCAGCCACCACCAACACACAAGTGGCAACCTCTAAACACTTCAAACGCCAAACCCTCTAATCAGCCACAACCTACACAAAGGGACAACCTCTAAGCAGTCCAAATGCCAAAGCCTCCAATACACAAAGTAGTACTATGGCCGTACATAGTACTACTTTGTGGCTTTGGCATTTGGACTGCGTTGCATACTAAGTGTAAAACGGAGTATAGATACTGGGAAAGTAGCAACATTTCCTTCCCTACCTACTAGCCGGACACAAACAGATACTAACATATGAACAACCGAAACCTCGCAAAGCGATTGGCTAATCTGTCTGCGTTGCCATGGAAATCGACATCTCCGTCCATTCAAATCTTATTAGCTTTCAGAGGGTAGTTCTAAACCAGTCGCACCAAGATCACGATAGAGCATCATCGTTCTGGAAGCGTTCCTCGCCAATGTAAGCGTCTTTGGCCCTGTGGATGCAATGAACTTATCAATCATGCCAATCTCTACTGCTCTCTTACAATTATATTGTTCTTTTTGCATATTTTAAAACGGTAAACTTATTTTTTGCGCCTCCAAGCACCGACACCGCACGTGGTGGTGGTACGAATATGTACGCTTGTTTCGCCGGTGTGTGGATAGCAAAGTCTCGGTATACAAGAAACGTCTCCATTAAGCTACCCGTCACCAGCGAATTTAGATCGGCTCCTCAAGAACGGAGGGGTCAAAAGGAAATTGCTCATTTCACGGACCAAGATGGCGACCATACGGGGAGCTTGGCGCTACTTTCCCAGGATCCAGTCACTTTAGGCCCAACGAGTGGTACAAACTTAGGCGTGTCTAACAGGCACGGCTTTGAGCTGAGACTGCAGCCAAAGCTACAAGCGCAAGTAAGCCCGCGCTTCAGGCTTAGGTACATGCATTTCTAGTGCGAGCGCTTGTTCTGCGGAAAAACGCTTCAATGCAGCGACGTGCTTGCTAAAAAAAAAAAAAAAAAATATTGGGTTGCGTATATGTTCATACAGAGGACTTGGCCTCCCTCAACGGGCGACGAGTCTCCCAGCTGTAGATGAGCAATTTAGCCAGTGCAGTACAACCGCTAGCCTGGGGTCTTTAACGTGGATCACGCAGTCGTGATACACGACCGCACGCCGGTACGATGCTTATTCGCACCGAAATTGGCAGGGGCGTGGATTGAACCTTAAAAGCGATCACAAATAAAAAAAAAAAAAAAAAAATACAGAAACGTTTGACTGCGTTGCGGCTGCGAGAAACCAGGACATCTGTGCTTCTTATATTGCGTGCCAAGCTATTCGCTGAATTGGATTCCACGCTTCATACGAAGCACAGATGTGCCGGTTATACCCGTGCCACACGGGCTACTGGAATGCCATTTACAGTAGGGTGCCTCAATGTCCTTCTGTTTAGGGTGATGCCACCCTTTGTAGTACCACATGCCGACAGCACGCGCTCACGGGGAAAATACAAAGAAATCGACGAAAACAAAATGTCGCCGTAGCACAGTCAGCGCCACAAGCGCGTGCAGGGACACGCTCTTTCACGCGCTTCTGAACAAAAAATAAAAATAAACGTGTGTGACAAAATGGCGAGATGCCACCACCCTAAGCAGAGCGCACATGAAGGCACCCTAATTTACAGCGAATGACGTTTGAACGATCGGCCAATCAGCGCGCGACACTCCGAGCGTGGGGCGTTCCACGCGCGACAGATCGCGAGCCGATTCGTCGATCACACGAATGTCATTCGTTGTAAATGGCATTTGAGTTGCCCGTGTGGCACGGGTTTTACTCGCTTTCGTTTCTCGACACAATGCAGTCAAACGCTCTCAAACGCTGATGTGCGTAGGGGCCTTTAGAGCGTGAGCCACAAGAGGCGCCCTTCAATGAAGTTGAAAGCGGAAAAAAAAAGAAGAAAGAGTTGCGTTGCGATGCCAGATCTTCTGACATTGCCACCAAGAGTAGGGTGCCTACATGTCTGTCTGTCTCAGGGTGAAGACATCCATTGTTGCCCTGAATGTGCCAGCGCGTGACGCTCTCGCGCACTCGGTGCGTGACTTGGGCGGCAAAATGGCGTCTATGCATTAGCCAAAGCTACGCGCTCGAGCTGAGTGACACCGGATTGTGCGCGCTTCAAGATGCATAAAAAAATATTTAAAAAAACGATTGGGCGGAAAAATGGCTGAGATGTCAAAAGCGCGCGTGTGTATGTAGGCACTCTAACCAAAAGTGGAGTTCCTGTATAGGCTCCCTACCCAACCTAACCAAAAGATAGGAGAAGCGTACCTTAGCGGTGGTGGTATGAATCTCGTATTTTCGATTGTTTTACGGCGTTGAATTCAACCAATTTTCTACGTCGAGAGTTTTTTTTCCTTTACTTAGCACTACGTAGAAGGAGAAAAGATCAGCGATTGCGCCACAAGTAGTGCGAGGTCAAATCAGGTGTCCTACCCCGAGAGGGGGCACCGCATTTTATTCAAAGCTTCAGCGCGGGAGGCCTATAGGGCTGTCTCTCTCGACAGGGGGCTGTAAGTGCATCCATATGACGCGACCATGTAACATTTGCATCGAGCACAAAACGGCACTGCAGCGTTCGATTATGCACGACCCACAGTCCTTTTCAGGCATATGTCAGCGTCTCTTTACACGCAGATGCAGCGTCTGGAATCGCTTTTAGTGTCCTATAAAACGGATAAGAATACTTTTCTGTTATCTTTTAGATTGTTGTTATTTTCTTTCAAAAATTTATATCCACCTCTGTGTATTGTTCCAGCTTAGCAGCCGTGATCCAGGGAAAAAAAACATAATGACTCAAAACCGAAACGCGACTCAGGATATTTTAGGTTTTGCTCTGGAGAGGCGCTGACCAATCTTGAGAGCTACAAGCCTTTTCCAACTGTGCCTCGAGACAAAGGAGTCTGCCCACTAATTATTCCCTCCAGATATTGGTGCTCCGACATGCCCGGCCAATATCTGTTCCTCGTCTATCCGTATAAACTAATTCAAATCCAATCAGGTTGAAGGTTGGAGCTGCGAACATCGTTGTACTGAACGACTTCGAGTCCATCAAGGAGGGTCTCTGCAAGAAAGAGCTCCTGTCCAGACTTCAAAACGTGGCACGGCACGCCGGGGTCGATGGTAAGAGTACTTTCCTGCTCATTAAAAAAAAAAAAAGATAAATAAACTATTCGAAGTTTATTGAGACTACCGTCGAGGTATACAGTTGTCTGGGGGACCATAAAAAAAGCCATTGACATGCCTGACAAGATGACCCCCCCCCCCCCCTCCCCCTTCATGGCCAGACCATCGAGCATGCCCGGACAAAATGAATGTCTGACAGAGGACGAAAATCAACTTGATCAGGATAAATCTAAACAACGACGCATAAGCAGTAAATAAACACTGCATAAGAAGTAAAAACCAAGAATATAAATCCCAATTGTCCCCCACGCCGTAACAAATAAACAACGACGCACATTAATATTTTATGTCTTCACAAATACGCCAAACAATGCGGCCACACGCAACAAGCAAAGAAAATTGACATCGGCAAGGTGCATCTCTACAGAAAAAAAAAGAAAAAAAGAGACATAAACGATGCACCAAAAAGACAGCACCTGAGCACGGAAAACAAAACAAAAAACAACACTTTTTTACTTTCAAGGTGACGATAGATACACATTTATGTTTTTCTTTTAAAGCTTGCACATAAATACCTCCGTGAATAATGACCATGAGATCAAAGTTATCATTTAGAAGTCCGGGCATTTGATAATGTAATTTCTGTACGTTATAGTTTGTGCGTATTTTTTGCTTTGTGTAGCTCGTGTGCCGAAAATTGTATCGATGATCTTTCCAAATATACTTTTGAAAAAGGTAGTTGGTTCTAGTTTGATTTGATTATAAATCAAAGATACATTTTTTCTTTATAACATTTTAAATAGTTAATATTCGGTGCCTTCTATAAAGTGGAGCAGAGTGACTCCGGTACGGGGCATTTTCGGATAATCGCGGGGCCTTTTTCTGGAGTATGTGCAGGGTTTTCTAAATTTGTTTTTGTTGTGGTCCTCCCATACAAGAAAGACAGCTGTGAAGACGTGAATAAACTAAGGTATAATATAGCTGTTTTTTGACCCAGTGAGGCAGGAATGGTGAACTCTATAAACAATTGCAAGCATGGCACCTCACTGGTGCTCCATGCGTGCAAGCATGTGCAGTGTGCGCGTGAACGTAGCTTGGGCCAGGAGTCCTGCTCGCAGTCGTCTGTGCATAATCGCTTCTTATTCTCTGCACATGAAAAGATCAATCTAGAGTTTCATAAAATAGAACACCTAGGAACCTATGTGATATAACACGTTCGATGCTCTCGCTTTGAAATTGAATTCGAATTTCCGGCTGAAAACATTTACACCGTAGCCAAAGTATATTGAACTTTTTAGTGTGCGTTTAATTGAAGATGATTTGCTCTCAGACACGATGATAAGTTTTCAAGCCATGCGCTGGTTTCGCGTTCCAGTACTTCTAGACGTATTTCAGAAAAATAAGAAGTTTAAGTTACCGAATTTACTCGAGCTATAGGCGCACGTTATATGAAGAGAACCTGAGGGTTCGTTTTTCCGCGGAGCACGCAGATTGCCAATCACCGCGATCGACAGCATGATTCCAGCGGTTTACAGGACAGAGATAACGTCTTCGCGCGAAGATACCATCTGTGAAAATTGCATCTTCTGTATGAAGACTCGTGTTGTCGAACTCGTGATTCGCTGCGATATTTATGCGAAACTCTATGAGTTTATGCGAAACCCCAAAAAGTGCATCGTCACGGCGTGCGTCGTTTTCGTGCGCGCTTGCTCTCACCAGCCACATCTATCGCGCGCAGTGAATGCACCGTGACACAGGCGCTTTCTCGTTCGGCATGATCGGTTTTGGGCGGTGATAGCAAACTTAACAAAAACTAAAGAAAAATCACGAGCCATCCCACTCTGTGAAGATAGATGACCAGCGAAGCTGTTTAGCAGCCGACACAGACGTGACACATAATTTTGAACAAAGAACACTTTTATTGCCTCTATCGGTGGTCATCGTGACGAAAGGTACGCACACACACGCCGAGGACTATCGCCGCCCCGAGGAGCCGGAGGAAACTAGACACGCGCAACGGGACCGCCACCCGGCGGAAGGAAAGGAAACTAGGCACGCAAGTGCTTGTCATGACGACAAAGGGAGGGCGTTGCGAGCCCTCTCTGAGTTTTTGTTTACGCACACGATAAATCCACGCAACCCTAGTCATAAACAACTTCGCTGCAAAAAACAAAAAAACAAAAAAAAAAAAACGAAAGATTAGGGACAGAGATTTTTTTTTTTGTTTTTTGGCGTTGCTGTAAACCAACTCATGTTTACAAACAAACCGGAGCGCCCCTAGCGGACGCCATCGGCGCCGCGCATGCGCGATGGGGGTGTGGGCAAGAAGCTCGCCGTCGCCCATAAAGAAACCATTGATATGCGATGTTGTCGGCGTCGGTGTCAGTCCCCGCGCTCTTTCTGGCGTTGGAATTGTTGATTCTACGTCCTCTTAACGATGTCTGACTACTTGAGCATCGTCAGCGAAATTACCGAGGCTCGTTACACCACAAAACTTCGCGTGAATCATCTGACATGCGGCGATTCATTCCGCGTGGACGCCGCAGAATGTACGCTAAAGCCTGATTCACATGATGAGATTTCGCTCGCAATTTTCAGAGCGACGTCGCTCGGACTGCAAAAGTGTGAACCGTAGCTGAGATGTCGACGTGGATACTGAAAATCGCAAGCAGAATCTAACCAAGTGAATCAGGCATAACAAGTCGGTGATGGCCACTGGTAACAATGATCAACATCTCCTTGTATCTACTGTTTACGTCCAGCCTGCTTACCAACCTTCAAACTTAAGTCTTTTGAGGTCTGCACTTACTTCTTATCGCAAGTACCGGGCCCACGTTTGGTCTACGGGCCGGTGTCCTCTAAGAGAGCAGACGACAAGCAGAAACGTTTGAAAGAGCAGACGACAATTCGAACAATCAGGTGGCCGTTTGAACTTGAAGACGCACTGAACGTAGTCCGCAGGTGGTCCGTACAACTTGACGGTTTTCCGGCATTCATGTTGGAACAAAACAAATAAATTTGATAACCAGAAGTATCCGTGAATTCAACCCGAAATGCTTCCCGCCCAAGCAATTGTGGTCCGACGGCGTCTGGTTTTCCCTTTTCTCGGCACATATCCAGATTCTCGGACGAGCCGAGCGCATGAAAACTGACCTTCAAATCTTTCTCGACACTTTTGGTACAGCCCCAGTCGCAGCATTTTGATGAGAAGGAAGGTTTTTGTCTGGTTCCTTTCAAAACCACGCAGGAATACACGTCTCACATGGGCACTTCCGCCCAGAGCCCCGGACCGGAAGTGGGTCCGACGCGCCACCACCGCGGCGTGACGTAACAGACAACTTTTCTTGGCAGTGGAAGGTACGTCCCGCGTCCCCTCTCCCATTTTGAGTGTACGCAGGCTCTCCTCCTCCCCCATTGCCGGGGAGAGGAGGAGAGCCCGCGCACACTCAAAATGGCAGAGGGGACGCGGGCCTGTACCTTCCACTGCATTGCCAAGAAAAGCTGTCGCGGAGTATAGTTTGAATCCATCGGTTCGTATAGTGTTAGCTGCGTTCAGACTTGTTTTCGCCGACAGCGACAGAAACGCGTTGCTCATCACGTTGACGCTTTTCTTACTGCGGTATTCCTCCTCCGGCGTTCTCCTCGGCTCATACGCACCGGTTTCATTGACTGCGGAGAGATAATTCGATGCTATAGAGGGGCATGCCACGTAGTGCGTCTCCAAAAGCTGTCGGTGAATATGGTCGCTTTGCACACCCGCCAGGTTGCAGCCGCCATTGCTGACGTTCTCTTCTCTTGCCGAGATATTGAGTCCCAGAAGCGGGCGTTGACCAGCCTCCACAAAGGCTCGTCCACGCTGGGGACGATGATGCGTTGGAATCTAAAATCTGGGCCTTCCGGCCTACGACTCCGTTTTTATCTCGCTAATGGTGATTTTCGGCCCTGTGCCTAGCGCCGCCGCGCAGGAAAAACACGCTCGAGCCAATTTTTTATTTTTTTTTTAAATTTCAGTCTTTTGTGACGATTGGAATGGCCAGAGGAGAGCTTTGACCGCCAAGAAGTTTGGAGGTCCTCCTCCGATCCATAGAGTTGTTCTAATGTAGGCTAGAGGTCCAGCTGGTGCTAGTGTGCGGTTTCAAATTGAAGCATAAGGCAAACATTCCCAAATTGACACCCGGTAATGTTTTTTAAAGGGAAAAGGTTGGTGTATTTTTTTTTCCGCGTTGGATAAAAAAAGCAAATATTACGAAGCCTTTTTTTTTGTAATAGATAGCTTGTAACGTTTTTCAGTCATGTAGATGAAATATTGGTCAGTTAACGTTTCTTTTTAAATTAAGGAATTTAAATACCGGGCAAATAATTGGTTTATGTACGCATTTATGTCAATAGTCCGACAAGCGCAAAGAGGGCACCCGCGCTTTTCTGCAGGGGAGTTTACGTGCCTAAGTACTGGAGGCCATCTCGAAAATCAAGAGAGATGATAAGAACTAGGCGCACTAACACAGTATCAGAACCTACCCGTGCACGTTTACGGCCAGAATAAAGGGCAAGTGAAGTAATGAGTGCGATTTGCAATAAATAACATTAACATCAAAAGAAATGGCTTATTTTCCCGTTCAACAAAAAATGAGGGGAGACCGAAGTTTCATTCACTGTGCCGCTCATGTATGGGTGCAAAGGCAGGTTTGTTCTAGCGTTCAAAATATCATATCTGCATGCTCATAAACTTTGGATTTGGGGTAAAGCCGGAAACCTCTGTTCTCCGGATATAATCAACCCAATAATAATAAAGAAAAAACCTTTAATTGTCCGCGTAGTTTTTACGTTTACACGTTTTAACCTCTCGTGAATCGAGGTCATATTAATGGCATATAATTTTCGCCGATTATCAATTATGGCGTCATTGAGAAATTCCTGCGTTCTTTCCAACTCTTACACTTGCAATGATTCCTCACTTGTATCTACATACTTGCTGTGGAACATAGGATATGATACGAAATACTGTGAAGCTATACAGGACACGATTTCACTTTTGTAATGTTATTAAAGTGATCCACTATTTGCTGCGAAGAGACAAAATGCACGCGCGTTTTCGTACAGGGAAGCACAGGAGCACCGCAAAAGTGGACTGGTTATTGTCTGCTCCAGTTTGAAACCGGAAGTCTCATAGACACTAGCGTCAGTTGAGCCTCTCGCGGACATTAATATAATTCCACGCTCTGAGCTACTATTGGACCCGATAGTTGCGTCACGTCAGCATTCGGCGAGGATTCGGATCCAATTACACGCTTCGTATCAAAAGAATGGCGACCGCCAAAGTTGCTCGAAGAACTTTTGAAAATTGTCCATTCCGCGCATGACTGGGATCGGCTTTCTGCGCACGCCTTTTACTACGCTACATGGGCAAACGTTTTAGATATGACGCAACCGTAAAATACCAGCAAACACCCGAAGATGTCAAAAGTAAGCTGGAAATAGACACTTTCCGAAATACAGTCTGGCAACTTTGATCACCATCATCTCAGTGCATGGCATATACACGTCAAGCTAATGAAGGTTTTCTTGAGGTTGAGGAAGGAAGGAGTTCAAGGTACGACCATGCGGAGTAAATATGAGGCGTGCACTTTCGACGAGTGAGTACAACACGACACACGAATTAGATGCAGCGGCTGCGTAAGCGTCTATTTCAGAGTTTGGTTCATGCAATTTCTTGGAACAAGTTTTACTCTAAAACCTATGAAGGGCAGATATTTAATTAATGATCTTATTACTCGCCCCTTTCCACTGGTCATTTACCGCGTTCACACCATTGACACTGGAACAAATCAAGGAAGAAATATAAGCTGATCGAAGAGCCGTCCGTGTCGTCCGTGTCGTTCTGTGTTTTGTCCCTTGTCCGTATCCCCAGTCTCGGGTTTACAACTGTGCAATTTACACCAGCTAGCCTGCACCCTCACCATTGCTTCATGGCCGATTCTCATCTGTTATTGACGCGCGAAGGCGACGGTGCCCGATGAAATAAACTTTCCTACCCGCCGTTGGTTTGTTTAAAGTGAAACTGCTTTTTGAGCCAGCAGATGGCACTGAATTTTGAAGACAAACTAAAGTCGCCATAATCGCTACCAATATCACGCGCCCTGGTTGCTGCCTGCAGGGATGACGACGCTGAACGGCAAGCGATGGTCGGACAACCGAAAATTCGCCCTCCACATGCTGCGTGACGCCGGTCTGGGAAAGAAGGCTGCTGAGGAACACGTCATGGTAAGCCTGTTTGCGGCTTACACCTTCCTAATATCTGCCTGCATACACAACGCAATCAGAGCCTCTTGAGTGTGCACCCTCGTGGGTAAAACTCAAACACGCGTGTCGGGTTGGGCATTTTAGATTTGCCTCAAAAAATATGTATAATAGCGCCAGCGGCTACAACAAAGCCGCTGTTAATTGTTTTTAGAATTTAGTTCTTTCCACAAACATTTTTAAGTGGAGCAAAAAAGTTATACTACACTTTGGCTGCTTCATTTCTGTACAGAGTTATTTTTTTTGGTTGTTTTTTTTGTTATAAATAGGTAAAAACAAAACCACTCATATCAATATGTTTCTATAATAGTAGTATTATGCACGTGTTTTTTTGTTTTTTTGTCTAAACTAAACATTTTCAGCATTTGTAATACTAAAATTACAAACCTCGTGCTTTGACGCTTTGATGAAATATTTGTAGCCTTGTATCATAGGTGTCATCCCATATGTTGCTTACTAAATACTCTATACCGACATTTTAGTGCATCTGCTGTTGGCTGTAGCACTTCGGTTTATAATAATAATAATAATAATGCCTTTATTTTTCATCCGGGCGATGTGGGAGGTTGGGGAAAAAAGCTGAATGAATCAGCTTGACGAGCTCCCTCCTCCCCAGAAATTATACAATGTAGAAAATAAAAATAAAGCAGCCAGTACAGCACATCGCGCAGAAACACTTTGTATAAATCATACCAACAAGCTTTTTTTTTTTATGAGATTTTCTTTAAACATTTCACAACCATAACATTGCGATACTCACAACTTCACACTCGTGTTAGAAAAGAAAAACTTCAGATCTTTTTTTGATGTAGATTCTAGTTGTATGTCGCAATTATTGCAGAAATTGAGCAATTTTGGGAGTTTGCGTTGCATCATTTGTTCTCCATAACTCGTTTTACACGCATAAATGTTCCATATGTCGATGCTACGTGTGGGATATGTGATTGTTTTTTTACATAAACAAGCTAACTGAGTAAGAAAATTCATGTTGTTTTTGCTTCCTGTTTATAGGTTATACTTAAACGAAATGCATACATATTATGAATGTTCACTATGCCATGTTTTTCAAAAAGCGGTGCAGAAGGGTGATCATACGGAACGTTATCGATATTTCTTAGCATTTTCTTCTGCAGTAAATAAACCTTCTGCAAATTTTGAAGGGTCGTGTTTCCCCATACTAGATGACAATAATTTATATGCGAATAAAATAATGTGTTATGTACGAGAAGTTTCACTCTAGTAGGTAAAATTTGGCGATGAATATAAGTTAAACCTATGATACTCGATAATTTTGGTACGACGTAATTTGTATGTTCTTCCCAAGTCATGCGTTCCGTAAAAACTACTCCAAGGGTTTCGAAGGCGCTGACTAATTCTATTTTTGAATCAAACAAATTAATATCTTCATAAACGCGTATATTTTTGTTTTTTGGGCGAAATAGGACAGCTTTAGTTTTACTTGTATTTATTTTTAGCGCGTTACTCAGAGTCCATCTTTCCAATTTTACAAGGGTAGCATTTGCTCGGGAAATTAGTTCAGAGGGTCTTTTTTCGGAAAACAACAATGTAGTATCATCTGCAAAAATAACAAATTTTGCGACGTTATCGATGTTTACTATATCGTTCAAGTATATGTTAAATAAAAACGGACCCAGGATACTCCCTTGCGGTACACCTGATAAAATTGGTTTTATATCGGAGGAGTGACCATCAAGTTGTACAAATTGCTTTCGACTCCCTAGATACGATGTTAACAGCGCTAAACCGTTTCCACGAAAACCATAAATTTCCAGCTTTTTTAATAGTAAGTCATGATTCAAATAATCGAAGGCTTTTGTAAAATCGACAAAAATTGCAAGTGATAATGTTTTGTTTTCAAAACAATTTAGGATGAATTCTTTCTGTTCTAAAAGGGCGAGTTCTGTTGACCGACGTTTTCTGAACCCGAATTGCGCGTCATTCAGTATAGAATGCTTATCGCAGAAATTAGACATTCTAGATAAAATAATCTTTTCTAGTCCCTTCGAAAAAACAGGCAATATTGATATAGGCCGATAGTTCCCCATATCGTTTTTGTTCCCTTTTTTATACAAGACGGTGACTCTTGCTATTTGCATTTTTTTAGGAAATACGCCTTCAAGTAGGCAAAGGTTAAAATATAAGCTAGATATGGCGATATTAAATCTAAAACATGCTTTACGGGCTTAATTTTGATACCATCTGCATCGCAGCTTCCACTGTTATTTAGTCCTAGAAATACAGATGTCACTTCAGTTTCTATTACAGGGCTTAGGAAAAAAGACTTATTATTTGGTCCTGACATATAATTTAAAGCATCACTGTCAAAATTGCCTCTGTTGAGGTTGACAAAGAAGTTATTAAATTCATTAGCTAAGCAGCTTCCCCTCCATTCTTGATTGTTCAGACAAATTTTCGCGATTGGTTTTGGTTTACACGAGCGATTCAGTACTGTGTTCAATTTTCTCCACGTTGCATCCGCCTTATTTGCGCACTTGGAGAAAATGTCGCCAAAATAGTTTGCTTTTGCACTTCTAATCTCTTTTGTTAGCTTGTTGCGATATTGTTTGAACGGTTTGAGGAAATCACGATCACGCGTTTTCAAGAACTTTTCATATAATCTATATTTCACTTGAATTTTGTCCAGCAACTCTGGGGTGATCCAAGGTTTCCGGATTTTTTTTGACAACCGGAGAAGCCTATAGGGAAAGCATTCACTATACAGTTTTTGAAACTTAGCTAACAATATATTATAGGCACGATCTGCGTCTGTTTCTTGAAATATGTCACTCCAATCAAGGGAGAGCACTTTTTGCCTGAAGGTGTTTAAGTTGTTCAATGAAATATCTTGAAAATATACTGACTCAGCTCCTTTACCGTTCAACGTGTTTTTTCTTAAACAAAAATAGATACCATGGTGGTCGCTTATGTCTGTACTTATTACTCCTGCCAAAAAATGAGACGGGTGTAGGTTAGTTATAAACAAATCAAGTAATGTAGAACATGTAGGAGTAATCCGGGTAGGTGAGGGGATCACGTTCACACATCCAAATTGTTGTAAAAGCTGTTCCAGGTTTCTTTTCGCAGGGGTGTCTGCAAGCATGTTAATATTAAAATCGCCGCCCATAATCAAGTTGTATTTATTTTCATTTGCAAAACTCAAAATTGACTCAAGAAAATCAAAAAAGGTTTGAAGTTTCCCTTGTGGAGGCCGATACACAACGGCTACCACATTTCGATTTATGCACAAAGACAGAATTTCATAATCTTGGTTTACACACGAGTAATTAGACAGTATTTCGCATGAAAAATTCTGTTTTACCATCAAAGACACACCACCGCCCCGACCGGAGGTTCGATTTAGAACAAAATTGTTGTATAACGGTAGATTAAACATATGATTATCTTCGACATACCAAGTCTCGGTTAACATAATCACGTCGAACGACAACTTGAATTCACTAAAAAGCACTTCAAGCTCGGATATCTTGTTTTTCACGGATTGTGTATTTATGTGAAAGAATTTTAATGATTCAGCATATTCTCTTCCACATACACTCTCAAAATCTGATGGCACAATGTAAACCGGAGTTGCCATGATCGGGGTTTAAATAATATACTGACAGGTGTCAGCAGAATTTACACAATCTCATCCAGGTCACTTTCACTTCGCACAATGATGGCTCTTTCTCCGTCTTTCTGTCGAATGTATATCTTTCCATTCTTGTGCCAGACATATTTGTAATCATGATTTCGAGCCCAGTCCTTGGTTGCCGTGAGTAGAACTTTGTTTCGCTTTGTTAAATTTTCCAGAATAAAGCAATAAATCTTCAACCTGTTCAGTTCACTTTTCTTTGCAAGAAATGCATCTTTCACTGATTGCCTTGCAAAACGAACAATGATACCCGGCACCTTATCTCTGGCTGCAGGCAGCCTGTGTATCGAAACAACGTCAGTCACGCTAAGTTCCGGAACATTTATTTTTGAGGCCACGTCATTGACCTTCGAGAGAAGATCTTCATTTTCAGATACGGGAATTCCATGAAACTCGAGATTTAATTTTCTGCTCTGCCATTCAAGCTCATTAACGTCCTGCATAAGTTTAATTTATTTCAATGAAAATATTTATATATGCATTTTAAATATTATGACAAATTCAATTTGGAGAGTTTTAAAGCCCGTTTTATTAAATGATGCCATAATTTGTTACTTTCTTAGATTGTCCGTTTATTCGCAAATATGTTGACTTTCTATTCCCTTAATCAAAGTTTGTGCTTTTTATGCTTTATTTTTAGTGGAAGTGGTTAAACTCACATCAATGGACCCAAATCCCGAAAACGGGAGTTTCGCAGGTTGGCTTTGCTGCGAGGCGATTTTGGCCTAAAATGCTAAAGGAGTGGCGTTGCATGCGTTTAGGAGGTAACGGGGTGGCGGGAGCTAGCGCTGGAGAGGGGAGGGAGAGGAGAGGCTTTTGTGAAGGTGCCGCCATTAGAAGACAAAATGTCTGCGCCCGCGACCGCTCCCCCCCCCCCCTTTTTTTTTTCTTTTTCGTCTGGCTGCGTTTTTTTTTTCCGTTTAATTTGAGTTAGGGCACTTGAGTCGGGGCTCATATTGTTGTTTATCTCAGATTAGTATCTAAAATATTTTGGTATCACTTATTTTGTTTCCGTTTTTCTGCTTGTCGTGTTCTTTCGCTCCCGAAGAGTGCACGACTGGATCCTAACGGCCGTTGAAAACCGGAAGATGAGATCTACAACTCGTAGGCCTGGTGTTGCAGCTAGCATTCCACACCCCTGCTTGAGCGTTTAGGTTCGAAGTTGCTTGTGTCAAGTTTTCTCAATGGCTGACATTCACAGACTTGGTGGAATCTTTTTATCCTTATAAAAATTATTATTTATTTATTGACTTTGATACCCCCAGGGCCCAGGGGGCGTTACAAGTTTTTAAAAAATACACAAACAAAACGTACAATAAAAAATAATTAACGTAGTGCAGGAGTAGAAAGGTGTTAAGATATGGCGGTTTAGAAGAATGAGCTGTCTTCAATAGTAGCGATCGAGTGGGGAACGCGGTTACAATCTGAGCTGGTCTCGGGCAGGAACGAATCAAGAATCATATTTGTGCTGCAATAGGGATTGGCATTTTAGACTGGTTATCAATGCGCAGTAGAAAATGTGTGAAGGCTGTGAAAGAAGTTTGTGCTGCAATGATGAGTTATAAAATGCATTTTTATAGAAAAGGGGAAGACGCGGTATCTTTTTTTTTTTTTCGAAATTGTGGTTCAGACACCCCAAGATTCATTAGTGAAATGCAAGCGAGCCGAAAATAATTAGAGAGGATGAAATGCGATGATCAATTCTGGACGAATTCTATGGCATCAATAAGAGTACCATGAGCCGGGTTCCACATAGCGGACTGGTATTCGAGTTGGGGCGAATGAGTGGGCGATATAAAACAACTTCAGACGAACGCGCTTCAAAAAAATTGCGACTTAAGTAGCCGAGGGCGCGGTAAGCGTTGCTTCTGACGTAGGTGACGTGGGTATGTCATGATAAGTTATTAGTTTCGTGAGCACCGAAGTACTTGTACGAGGTGACATGCTCTAGTGGGACACCGTTAATGTTTTAGACAGAGGGTTCGGGGGCGATTAAAATACGGAAATGTGTCATACACTTACATTAACTAAAAGTAATAATCGTTAACCATGTAATACACCATGTAAAGAAATTGTCGAGGTCAGGTTCGAGAAGTGAGGGATGACATTGGTCGATTATTTCCCGGTAAAGAACACAGTCGTCAGCAAATAACTTTATTGGTGACTGAATGTCAACGAGAAGGTCGTTATTATAGAGTGAAGAAAGCAAAGGGCCTAAAACAGCACCCTGAAGGACGCCAGACTTCACAGGAAAAGGAGATCTGGCACAATTATTATCTCTCACAAATCGTGTGCGGTTAGTCAAAAAGCAATCAATTACTTTGATGACGTGAGGGTTAATATTTAATGTGCTGATTTTAAGGAGGAGTAATTGATGGGGTACATTGTCAAACGCTTTTGCGAAGTTGAGAAAGATGCACCCAGAAAACGATCCACGGTCAAGACCTGAGGCTACATGAGGAGTAAAATAGAGAAGCTGCGTTTCACAAGAATAATGTCTCCGAAAACCGTGCTCAAATAGTCTAAAATAAAAATTAGACTCGAGCAATGACACAAGATTTTATTATATGACATTATCTAACATTTTTTTTTCTGTTACCTGTGAAGAGGAACCACCTTGCCCACCTTGGAATCATATGCCACTGTGGAGCACTGAATAGACTGCGTGAATATGTGCGATAAAAGGACAGATAAATTGACTTCAGAGTTTTTGAGAAACTTCGAGTTTATTTCATCTGCTCCACAACAAGAGGAAAGCTTGAACTTTTTGATTTAATTTAAAATTACCACAAAATCAATAACACTATTATTCATTAGAAAGAACTCGAGGTAACGTACTTGTGCCACTGCGTGTACACAAGGATCTAAAAATGACTTTGAAAGAGCGTGGTTTAGCACAGCTCAACATTCTTTACCGCGCATGATGTGATCACTTGAATCCACAAGAAATTGTTTTCTTAGAAGGTTTTATAATCGTACTAAGGTGTGACGGGTTACAAGCGAGAATCGATAGAAGGATATTGTTAAGAAAAAATGTGCTTAGCCTTTTTGATGGCAATGCAATAACGGACAAACTTTCTGGGTTTGCGCACCAGCGCGTGGGAATGTTTGAGCGTTTGGCCAAACTGAGTAGCCTTTTTTTTTTAGCAACCTTTTTTTGGGCTGTCGCGAACCCCGGGGAAATTTTTATTGTCGAAAATTGTACAATCTGCTAATCAAGGACGCTATATTCATATTTTTTTTAAATATTCTCCAGTTATGCTTAACTGTGCTATCTGAAAAACCAGGACTTTGACTTCCAGCAAATAATTCAAGTTCTTTGTTTATTAGAGTGCAATCTCCTTTTTTCTAACCTCCGATTGTCTGCGACTTAGGGATTTGATGGGCAACCCACCCGGTTGGTTACTAGGATGTGCATGAAGAAATGGAAAATTATGACAGTAAGTGAACAAGGTCAGGTGCCGTCGTAAGCACTAAGTCTAATACATTTGTCGATGTTGGACCATATATATCTGGTGGGTTCAGAGACAAGCTGAGTGAAGTTAAAATCTAAGCAGAGGATTGCAAAAGATATCTCGACTGACGTTGCACAGAGAGTACGACCGGTAGCAAAACAATTTATTTCAGAATGATTGAAGGAAGCCAGACAAAATAACGGAGAAAATGGGAGCCCTCATACTAAGCTACTAAAGACATCATGTAATTGGTCACATGTTTCGCTCGGTTGGGGGTAATATACCCAAAGTAGTATATTTTGGCAAGCGAGCTGAACACTAACACAAACAAGTATCATAGGGAACCTGAGAACAACCATATTAGATGCCAGGTCTCTAGTTATTGCAATTAAGTCACCTCGCCTCCAGTTTGGACATCCCGATCATAGCGGTAAATAGTGTAATTCTTATTGCAGCAGTCGAAAAGTTCAGCATCTCCTATTTTCGCAGAAAGCCAAGTTTCTGTCAGAACAACAACGTCAGCCGAACAATCATCAAGATTAATCAGTAATGCATCACGTTTATTAACGATACTCCTGATATTATTGAATGGAAGTGAGAAGTCACGGCCAACGTTGTTACAGTAAGCGGTCTTTGTTAAGGTAAAGTCTATCAGCACCTGCAAGCGCGGAATCAGAGGAGGTTTCAGCTCTTGCTGCGCACTTTGACTCAAGTTAACATATGGAGTCTGTAGCCGACGAATAAACGTAGCATTTTAATGCGAAAGCATAAACTGGTCCCATGAAGCGAGCCGACGTCATCAGTTTGAAGCGCGCCAAACGGCACCTTAAATCCTTTCTCCAAGTGAAGCTCCCAGCTATGAAACCACGCAAAAAGCCTAGACAACGGCACCTAGTTTCCCCGATCCCGAAGGAGCGGAGTAAAGGTGATGGATTTCAGCTTCGGTCCCATTGGCTGGCGCGCGTCGACGAGGCTCCCATTGGCCGCTGCGCGTCAGTTTCAACGACCGCCGCCCCATGGCGCTGCGTGACCGTGCCGCGAGCGCGCATGTAACACGAAGCGTCCAAGGTCAGAGCTGCGAGGAGAGCTGGGAAAGCGCTCGCACGGCCGACGCAAATGCGCCGCAAACGAAACACGCGAGCGGAAGAACGGCACGCATGCTTTCGCATTCACAACTCATAAGAAGTGCTCAGGTGTACCTCGAGCCTTTTACTGTTCATATATCATTTATTATAACGTATGATTAACTGTTGGGCGCTCTTTTCCAAATTCAAACAATTTTTTCCGCGAGGTTCTGGTCGCCCTACAAAAGTCTTCGTTCACGAATGCCCCTGATTTTCTTAGTGTTTTTTTATGCCAGACCAGATTGCTTTCCCTAAGTTGAAACAAACAATAACTGGCCTACATTTCACAGGATCAAATCTTCCTAGTCTCTGCGCGCGGAAAAACCGTCCTTACTATAGTTTACCAGTGTAAATTTAGGGCGGCATTCAGGGTCGCACAAATTTTGTCTTCGGACCCTGCCCTCTCTTGAAGGCACTGTCGGAAATACCATCCAAAATTAGAAGTCGTTTATTATTATTTTTTTTTGCGTGAGCGATATTTATAGTCGCCAAGGCGTCGGTCCAAGACCGCTACTGGTTGGCTATGACTCGCACCCGATTACCCTTGAGACGAGCGAACACTTCTTTCTGCTTCGTAAAGACTGCGTAGGCGATCTGCTGGCGAGGAGAAAATTTTGCAAATTTTACTTCGTCGAGGGATGTCATAATTTGTTCGTGTTTCACATTCAACTAAGCACGCAATGACCTTATTAAAGAAAGCTGCTCATTGTATTATTTCCCAAAGTCCTCTGTAGGGGGCCGGGATTCAATTCTATGTGACCAGACATAAAGAGCAGCTTCATTGCATGAACAAACGCGCAGGTCAAAGAAAACGTGTGGGCGCAAAAGTAAGAACGCGTAAACATTACTTGGCCGTTTGCAATAAAGGAAAAAGGCTGAATCGAACTGCACCACAGAACGGTAACGTTTTATGTGACCGTTGTGAGTTTTTTTTAAATTCCCGCGCGAGGTCATGTGGCTGTGACGTCATAACCCTATCGACCAATCAGGATTTTCCCGTCACGCCACCGACGCGGGATTTTCTGCAACGCGAGCTCCTCAACGCTACGCGTTAAAATTGAAAAATAAAGTAGTTTGTGTAGAGCGGCACGAGAAGCTAAGGTTCAGGTTGAGTGTTGCCGCTCATACTTTCTCACACTCCGATTCCCGCAGGAAGAAAGCCGGCAGCTGCTGGAGCGGATCTCCGATACCGGAGGCGCCGCCCTGAACGTGCAGGAGTACGTGCTGCCCAGCATGTCCAACAACGTGGCGGCGCTGGTGTTCGGCAGTGGTCTCCCCTACGACGACCCGAGGCGCAAGCGTCTGGACTACGTGCTCAGCGAGGCCGTGGCTGCCTTGGCCGCGGGCTCCTTCGTTACCGTGCTCCCGGCCCTGCTGGACAGGATGGCCGGGAGATTGCCCTTCACGCGCCTTGGGACGATCCGAAGGACACTGCGACAGCTGCTGGACTTCATCAGGTTAGGGAGTAGCTCCATAGAGGGCTGAAAGTGTGTTTCAGATTTTATGAAATAACCTATTTACGACATAACCGAAATACAAAATAAAGCATAAACATTTTCTATAGGCTTCTTCTCACGTGAGTCGTTCAGCAAGGGTCACTCGACCCTGACGACACCGTAAAATTACTGTTGTAGGAGAGGGGTGGCCAAACTGAGGCTCGCTAGCCGCATGTGGCTCTTCGCATGTCCAAGTAAGGCTCGCGGCTCCTTGGCAAGCGTACCGCCCCTCTCCCCATCCCGAAAAAATCGTGAGGAGAAAAATGCAGAATTAAAGACAGGTTGCGTTATATTCGAGACAACATGACAGATGCTAAGCCCGAGTCGGACCCGCCTAGATCAAACGACAAAGAATATCTTGCCAAGCTTCAAGTACTTGGGATAGATTCCTTGCCTCTGCTTAAAGGTATGCGAGAACTTATGTCACGTTTCGCGTTTCTGACCAATAATATTGTGGTTGACGTGTGAACAGGTGGTTTTCCAGCAATCAAAAACATTTTACTACATCTAGGAGTGCTCGAAGTACAGGGTGTCTCAAATAGCGGCCAGGCTCTTTAAATCGTTCGCAAAAATCGATTTCCTAACCTATCGCGCTACAATTTCGCGCAACGTTGCACACAGGTGATGCATCTTTTCTATAAAATTTGCAAAGAGCAAATTTGTTACCTGAGGAAAAAGTAAAAAAAAAGAAAAAGGCTTAACTCCTATGGAAATGCGGCGAAGCCACCACTCTTCAAACAATAGAAGGCCTTTGGCACGGGAGGCAAGAGATGGCGCAAGCGGTTGCGACGCCAACTGCCGCCAACGAACGAGCGTACGGCACCGAGAGCCGGCGCCATTAGCAGGCGGTCTTTTCGACTGAAAAGCGGCGCGCGTTCCGCAGGCGGCGACAGTCTCAGAACCAAGAACAGGCGCGGTCACGACAGGGAACTGCAAATCAAACGACATAAGTAGCCCCCCCCCCCCCAAAAAAAAAAAAAATAAATAAATAAAAAAAAAATAAACTGACAAACTCATTTTTTAGTCGATTATGTGTCCATTCAATGTGTTTTATTAGTAAGGATGATAGAATCATGCATTGGCAAGTGACATTGAAAAAGCTCGCGCCGCTTTTGAGTCGAAAATATCGTCTGCTATTTGACGCCGGCTCTCTGCACCACTCGCCCGTTGCGGCAGTTGGCGTCGCGACCACTTGCGCCATCTCTTGTTTCCCGTGCCAAACAGCACCCTATTGTTTTAAAAAAAGTGGCTTCGCTGCGTTTCGATAGAAGTTAAGCCATTTTTCTTTTTTTTTTTTTTTTTACTTTTTCCTTAGTTCCGTTCGCTCTTTGCAAATTTTATAGAAAAAACGCACCACCTGTGGGCAAGGCTGCACAAAATCGTAGCGCGATAGGTTAAAAAATCAATTTTTTGCGGTCGATTTAAAAAACCTGGCCGCAATTTGAGACACCCAGAACTACAGAGTGTCTCCCCCAAAAAATGTACAGATTGTTTTGTTATGCATATTTACCGCAAAAGTAAACTACACATTGCTAAACGCTCATTCTCCACCCAAATGTGGCGTTATATTATTAAAAGGTTATGAGTGAGTTCATTCAATTTTTATGCAAAAATGGTGGTCGAATACACATAGCTGAATAAAGCAATTTACCAAGAACGCCGGGCCCCATTTTTGTACTGAAATGCTTAGAATATAAGTTAACTTTTGAATAAGGAAACGGTTAGTACTGAAACTTTTGCATCGGGTTTGGACCGCCAGCAATACCCCTTGGAAAATTTGGATAACGTAATTACACTGTCGAAAGTGTCATACAAGCGCATCGTAGCATGTCATATTATGTAACAAAACATAACGGGTAGGGTGACGTAAGTATAGTGAATCCATGATGAATCGTGATAGATGGGATGACGTACTCAGGATGGATCCATGATGGATCCACCATGCTTACGTCACCTACCCAGATATGACTTGTCCATTGTACGATATGTTACGATATTCTTCCATGTAGCTTTCTCCATCATAATTATGTTATCCAGATTTTCTTACAGTGTACAATTGGGCAGACGCTAAGCGTTAGACGATGTGTGGTTTAATTTTGCGGTGAAAAAAAAACAAAAACAACGTAAATATTTTTTGGACACGCGTATGCTGTGCTTGAACCCCCAAAAGACGAAGGGCTGAAAATGTTCATTCGGTCTCAGGAAGCTCCAAGGATCTGGCAGCAGGTTTCAAAAGCAACGTGTCAATACTGAACGAGAAACATCCGTCGATGTTCAGACCAACGTACTGCTGGAATACTGATTAGACAAGAAAGGCGCTAAAGTCAACAGAGCTTGCGACCGTGACGGACGAACACCTAACTGAAGGTGAAACCTAAAGCGGGTTTAGAACTCGATGCCACTGCTTTAGGACTGGTCTTTAACTTATTCCAATGTTTCACAGTCTGTATCTACAGAGGCATAAAACATCTGATTTTCCCCAATTATGTCGAAAACAGATGGTTTGTTTTATACTGCTGATGTGCAGTGCTCCACACTGTAAGCACAAAAATAATTTTGAAATTTAAAAGCGCCCAAAAAAGACAGGAGATAAGAGGAAGGATTGTGCCTTGTGTTGTACTACCTCTTCGTCTACAGTCCTTGTTTTTTTGTGAGACTTTTACATTTCAAAACAATGAACAAACTGGCTCATTTATCTACTTTGCCACGAACAAGGTCATTGGTGTATTGAGTGACACTAAATGTTATAGCTTAAATTATTTCCCCAATTGAGATCTTTACGGAACTCTGTTGATTTTTATGGCAGTTGTTCAGTTTTAAGAGTAAAAGAGGAGAAAAGTGGCGATCGCTTGTTTCCGCTAGCAGTGTCGCAATGTGTGCCTCTCTTGCTTGAGCCCCCTCGCAGACTGCAGTGTTGTTAAATATTACTAAAGAAGGCAATTTTGTGCAATCTTAACCGCGGAAATAGTTCCCATTTTCGGCAGCTGACGCCATTTATTTGCATGTATTCACATTCCTTTCCCGCGATTTGCTCATGTTGCCACTACCTTAATGCTCCCCAGTGTCTGAATGCTTTCCGACCCAGAACATGTAAATACGTGTTTCATCACAAACTAAAGGAGAAATATTGAGGTCAGAAAGCGTCTTTTTTTCAACGTACTTTTCTCAATTTCTGCCATTCAGCTTCGCCGTTTCTGAGTTTGCAGTGTATCTGTCTTTCCCTAACTTAAACGGTTATTTATACCTAGCCTTGGCAAAAACTGTGTTTGCGTGTGAGTGCTGCACGTGCGTGCGCGCGTGTGTGTGGGCATGTGCGAGTGCATGCTCGTGTACGTGAGTGTGTTGGTCTGTAAGGGCAGGTGTGCATTTCATACTTTTTTATATTCAACCACCATGGCTTTTTGACCTGCATGCCACTACATTATTTGCTTTCGCGGGCCACACTCAGCACGCAGGTCGAGGAACACCTAGCAAGCGGAGATGAACAGAAAGATCGAGACTTTATCAATGGGTACCTCGAGAAGATTAAGGAACATCAGGATGAACCCAATTCCAGTTTTAACAGTAAGTGTACAGAACATTACTACCGGTGCATCTTTGTTAATATTGCGCCATCCTAAGTTTTCTCTCTGCACGGAAAACACTGATCATCCCTTTAGCCTGTTTCTTGTGCTACCATATAGGGCTAAATCACTCACCCTTTCCAAGAATCTCGTCAGTCTCAGAGAGACAAGCAACGAACAATGTTCCCAGATACGCCATCTAGATATTGTCAAAAAGATTTCTTACTCGACATGAACTCTGACAAAAAAAAAAAAATGCGGAGTGAAAACCTTTTACCTTACCATAAAAATATATTTTTTGTCAACGAACAAAAACACAGTGTCCGTAGACTCTGTGAAACTGACCTACAAAAACAGTCTTGTACTACACAGTCTAAAATCTGTCCAAGTGCAGGCTACCCTGCTGTGCATGACCACAACATACTAGAACGCAATTCGCGGCGAGAAGTTTCGGTATCGCCGCCTGGTAGAATTTTTTCCCAACCCAGAGTGAGGACGTTTCAGCTTCCTTCACTGGTGCGACCACGTGCAGTGAAAATTCACTATGAAAATTAAAACGTAACACCTTGGGTACGACGTGCAGTACCCATATAGTGAGAAGAACAGAAGCAGCCCTAGCGAGCTTCTTACCGCGAATGCATAGTAAACTAAGTGTACTCCGCTTCAGCAGAGCACACTGGAGAAATTGTTGCTCAATATCAAATAACACCTAGTCACTTTGGAGCTACGGGCCTCACTTTGACACCAGCAATTCAACGCCTTGCAGCGAACGAGACTCTCTGGAGGGTCGTAATCTACGACATTTATGTAGGCAATGGACCTTTTGTAGAAATACGCGGTGCGCATGCGCGGAGTATTTGATGCGCCTGGGTTCGAGAGTATCTAGTTCTAAACAATCCGCCATCTTGCTTTTCTCGCCTTTGCGCGCCTTGGAGACCATCGAGACTCAAGTTTTGATGTTGCGAACAAGGTGAACACGAGCCATCGTACTGACGACGCTTGTTCTAGATTACGACGTGCACCGCAATCATGCCGGTGAACTGTGTAGCCTTCGGCTGTCGGAACTATTATCGCCCGGGTTGTGGAACTAGCTTTTTTCGCTTCCCGTGTGCTAAGCGTCATCCCGTTAAGCGGGCAGCCTGGATTCGTGCCGTCAGGAGAGTTGACAAGTCCGACCCCTTGAAGAACTGAAAGCCGAGTCAGCTGTCTAGACTATGTATTTTATTACAGGTAAGTTGACTTGTAATTTTTGCAAGCGATAGAGCTTTGCGAAGTGCGGCGATGATCACAGCCGGCGTTAGACAAGGCACACCCGGACCATGTTCCTACACTGTTTAGCTACTCGCGTCCACGGCCGGCAGCCCTCGGTCGGTATCAACGCTGGTCCTCCAGATCATCAACCCAAGGTGAGAACCTTTTGTTGGCAATCAGGTCAGCTGAACACGAAGAAAGAAGGACACGAAGGAAAGAACTGGACAAAGACAACGCTGACTATCAACTGAATTTTACTTTGTCTTCTTCCCTTTTTTTCTTACTTTTTCTTCGTCTAACGGAAGAATAAACACTTATAAAAACCTTTTACCCTAGTATTCAACGGGGTGTGGCAGACCGCAATCTTCTCCTTTTTCTTCGATGGCCAAGGCCTCCAGCACTTCACGCGCGAAGTTCTTGTTCCTTTGAAGGACGGTTATGCTGGTGAGCTCGGCATCGCATCCACAAGTCCGGCAATGAGCTGACAAATGTCCTGCTGATGTGCTTCTCACCGAGGCTGCGTGCTCCCTTGCTCTATCATTTATACATCGGCCAGTTTGGCCGATGTATAAATGCGAGCAGCGAAAGAAAACTAAGAGCAGCAAAAAGAAAACGAACCGGTACCACACAAGAAGCCTAACGTGGACGTTGTTTTCTCTACAAATACTCTCCAACCCAGTGCGCCTCAGGTTCGTCCCATAGGTGGCAGCACATATTCGCCAAAAGGTCCATTTATATTCCGCTGAATTGGTCGTGGTAGTGTGGCATGACTGAATCGCCGAATTGCTGTACAAAGACGACAAGCGCCGTGACGATGCGCTTTTGATTTTAGGGCTGTCTGATTGGCACCATAGGATAGTGACGTCGGCTGCGCTCGAAATTAAAGTGAACCCGAGTTTATAATGTCAGCCCTGCCTCTAGCGGGCGGCGCATCCGTCCCGACGGCACGCGTGAGCAGCCACCTGGCCATAGCGACAACACATGTCGCTCTTGATGGACGCCGCGGTCCGATTCTATGTGCACAAACCATGCGAAGCCCAAGTTCGTCTGCTTTTCTTTTTTTTTTTTTTTTGCAGGGGCTGTGGTGTCGTCACAACGACGCCGAGCTCTGATTGACTCTGATTAAAGGTTAGTGGGTAGACCTCAAAGCCAGCTGCCTTGAGGTATCCAAAATAATGGGGTCGCTGCCGAGCACAATGAGCACGAAATCAGAAACATATGGTTGTGGTACTCGAAAAAAATACGAAGACAGGAAGGTATGCACGACGTTTTGGGCTGAGGCCCGAAACGTCATGTAGGCCTTGAGATCTGCTCACTATCCCTCCTTCAGAACCAATCAGAGCTCGGCGTCGTTCTGACGTCATAAGAAGCAGACGAACTTGAGCTCCGCATTGCTCCGATATCCACCGAAACAAAACAAAAACGGGCGTGCGCCTTTTCGGTGCGTCGCTGCCGACCGAGTCGAAAGGCCGTAGAACTTCCCGAAGGCTATATTTTGCCGATTAAATTCCGATTAGTCCCAAAGTAGCAAACTCTTGCAGCAAATGTTCGTACGCTTCTATTCAATAAAGGGAGTTATTCTTGGAACGTCGCCGCTTCTGTTCAGCTTTCTCTTCTTCAGTTCGTTCCATTCACCTGCGAGGCATTGTAAACACTGCGGCACATCCAGTGAGCACCTCGTTCCACGACCCACGCATACGCCCTATAGAAAGAGGAGAACGTAACATACAAACTATCGCTTCGCAAGTCTCCCCCTCAGCATTGGGGTCAAGCGTCCTGCTCGACATGTTGGCGCCGTGGATTCAAATTATCCTCGAGGAACGTTCGGAATTTTGTTCTCTCTTTTTACAAGGGCGTACCATATTGATTTACAATTTTTGTTTACCAAAGATACCTGTCACTTAGAGGTCTCTACATGTGCCCATTTTCTCGCCAGCCTCCCTCTGTATCCGAATGCATTTGTACCACCGGTCTGGCAGCCTCTCCATGGCCTGCTGGAACCCCTTTTTGGGAGTGCCTCACTCCCGCACTTAGACATCTGCTTCCAGCTTATCAGTGACCGCGAAATGGCTTCCTCGCAGATGTTTTTTCGTTGCCCCAATAGGCGATAACCACTGGCGGCCAGGTCAGGTCATACTCATGCGTAACCCAACGTCCGATAGGTCGAACAACGTGTCATAAAGACGGCCGAAACCGATCAGGAGCCAGTAAATCACTGCGCCGCGTGCATTCACGTGTGATGACCGGCGACTGGTGAGGTTCGGCCGTCTTTTTCGCACGTTATAAGACCAGTCAAATGCATAGTAACGCACGGGTATAACCCGACCGGGCCTCCAGTAGTTATCACATGTTGTATGGTATGCAGAAGCACCCTGCGAGGACGAACTTTTGTGGTCGTTCATAAGCTGGAACGCTTCAGGTGTGAGTGCGATGCACTCCAATAAAGTGGTTCCAGCAGGGCATGAAGAGGCTGCCACACAGGCGGTGCACAGCATTCGGCTACAGGGGGAGTATGTCGAGATGGTGGAAATGTGAGCCGACCACTGTGTGACCGGCTTCTTCAGCATAAACAAAATAAAATGTAAATCAATATGGTGCGCTCCCGGTGATGTATACCTTTATCACTCTCCCGTGCGTGTGGACGTGTTTTGTGTTACTGACTCGAATTTTCAATGCAGGCTTCTGAAAAAATGCCCGCCCCTGGAACCTCTTTTCACACCTTTGTCACACGAAAGAGTGAAATGCCCGTACCATCGAATGACTTTATCCGACTGGCCAGTCAGCGCCCTCGACTCCACCGCGGTGCACGCACGACGCTCGCAGGGTTGCGAGCGGGTTGAACATGCGATAAAACTGACTATAAGCTTTACCGTGTGGCAGGGCTACAAGTAGGCAGAGTTTTTCAAGAATGACCGAAGTACTGCTGCAAAATATTCTCTTGTAAACTTTATAGCCCTTATTAAACCGGCGGTGTTTCGAGCTATCCAAACTAAAACTCATTTTCGTAATACCCTGGCTCTACTCTTCCCGGCATGCTATATACAATGTTTTAATCCGAAATAGCTATAAATAAAACACCAAATAAAGATGAAGGCAGCACCAGCGTTAAAAGTTTCCCGCGTTCTCCAGTTGGGTGACGCCACACGTTGTGTACATTTTTAAGTCGAGCAGGCAGTTTAAGATACACTGCATTTGTGTGCATTTTCGCATCGTTTTGCTGCCATTTGCCTCCCCTACTTTAAGTTCAAACCACCAAACTTCTCGTAATCCGTCGGAACCAAGCAGTACTGCCCCTAAGCTACATCTCGCGTAAAAATTTCGCTGTTGCCAGTATATCTTGTCAGCCTTGCAGACCAAAATTAGAAATGTATAACCTTTTTGAAGAAAACAGCCAACATGATTGCGACTTGTAATTTGGGTTATAGTTCAGATGTGTCTAGATTGATGTATTGAACCGATTTTGAGAGAAATCATTGACTCAGAATTTACAGGTCAGGGATTATCGGACGCTCCAAAATCAAGGATATTGTATTTTCAGTGGAGCACCTGATCGGAACCGTGCTGAACTTCTTCGGTGCCGGTTCGAACACGGTTGCCCTGAGCGTCCACTGGCACATGTTGAACTGCGCCATGAACGCGGACACAGTGCAGTCCCGGATCCAGAAGGAGATCGACGACGTGGTCGGTTCCGAGAGGCGGCCCAGCTGGGCGGACCGGACACGGATGCCCTTCACAATGGCCACCATCTGGGAGATGTACCGCTGGAGGACCATCAGCCCTTTGGGCATCCCACGGGGGTGAGGACCGCGATGCGAGGCGGAACTTTAGCGACGGTGCACCGCAATGCCTTACGAATGGCGCCTGCAAAATTCTGTTGCGGGTTAGTTTAGACAGCATGAAGTCATTCAGCCCCAATGGACGTCTGGTTTCACGGCTGTACGTGAGACATTTTGCCAGCGCTGGACGACTGCTAGTCTGGGGTCTTTAACGTACATCATGCAGGAGAGATACACGACCGCACGACGGCAGGATGCTCTTTATTGGGGCTGAAAGTTGGACACTTGGAGAGAAAGTTGATGAAATCGCGAACCGCAGCCGTGCTGCAATTGGCCAGCGTCGAGGTCAATCGCGGCGCCGTCCAATCGCGGTAGTCGGTGATCTCGCCGACTTTTTTGTCGAGTGTTCACCTTAGAGTCTCACGCTAAAACGCTCAGAAGTGAGCATTGAACAAAGGATTCCGGCCTGGTCCGTGCTAGCTGCGGTAGCACACTCGCGGCTGTTCATCCCCCCTATAGGAAAGGAGCGGACATCACTCGAGTTCCGACCAGGGTGCCCCTAGCGGCAAAGAGATCGTTTTCATCGGTAGGACTTATATAGTCGCTGCACTCAGGTTACGCTCGCTCAATTTTTGCGTCGAGCAAAAAGCTTGCGGAGTTTGTAAGAGACTGTAATCACGTCGTAATAATGACGCGCACACTAGTCCCGTGCAATTCGTCACCACTGCTTCCCTACGAGTAGACGGCGACAACCGCTAAGTGGCAGCAAACATGTCAGAGAGCCAGTATTACGGGGGATATCCAACAGCTCGATCAGGTCACGTGGTTTATGAACCGCGTTTGCAATACGAGGTGCAGGCGACGAACGCGTCGGTCGTCCGTGAGCGTCTCTGCCTTTCTGCCTTTTTTCCTCCTAGCCATGCGATAACGCAGCGCATGCGCACTCGCAGCCAATCTCCGATGGAGGCGTCCGCCATAAAACTGCAAACGTTCCCCATGGTTTCAGTGGACCCTCTCTACAATCTAGGCTCTCTACGAACAACAGGGGACAGAGGCGACACCGCCGGCCTGCTCCTTTCCTATGGAGTCCGGCAAATTCCGTGTTTAAGTAGGGTTTGGGCAACGGAAGTGGAGATTCTTTGATTTTTCATTTATTTACTCCTTCTCGCGTTGTTGAGGCTGTAGCAGGAGTGGTACGAACACAAAACACAATAATAAAGATGTGCCATCAGACAAACACAACAGTCTTGGCAACGCTCTGCTGAACCGTGATGTAGTCAAATATTTTTCAGTGAAGCGAGGATGCTGGGTCATCAGCATCGCCAGACAACGACAGCAGCAAAATACCATCAGCAAGATGACTTGGAAATCACAGCAAAATAAAACCAGTCACACCACTAAACCAAAAAAAAAAAAAACGACAAAACGGCAAAAGGATTTGAGAGTAAAATGTATTATTTGTAGCAGAAAACTCTCTAGTTGACAGATAATGTGATCTTGTTCGTTGTCATTTCAGGGATTTTCATTAAAAGTGCTGGCAAATTAATCTCGGGGGTTGAATAGACTTTTACCTTTTCAATGAGGTTTTTAACCAAGAATTTCTGAAGACTTGAAACTCTAAATAATGATTTCCATATCAAGGAATGAAACTTTTGGGCGAGGCTTGCAAATGCAATAAGCCCGTCCTGTCTGTCATCTCAGAGCGTTTATTGGTTGCTTTCTTCTAGGGCCACAGAAGACACTCACATCCGGGGCTTTTCGGTTCCCAAGGGAACAGTGGTCATTGCCAACCTGTGGGCAGTCCACATGGACCCCAAACTTTGGACGAAACCCGATGAATTTGATCCGACGCGGTTCATGGACGAAGAAGGTTGGGGCATCCTCGCCAAGCCTGAATACCTCATCCCTTTTTCTATCGGTAAAGATCAGCGTACTACTTTCCACAAATAACCAAACACTAGTGGATATGTTTTTATTCTGCCTCTGTGTCGGGGTAGCAATTCTTAGGAAACCAAATCCTCTGGCGCAGTCAGGTGTCTTGCATTCAATATACGCGAGAAGTAAACCTGTAAACCTTACTTTTGAGCAAACAATTAACTATAAATTATAATGCAATTAAATGCAAAGGTGCAAGCAAGCTTGACAAGAATGACTTTCGTCATTCTTGTCAAGCTCGCTTGCACCTTTGCATTTAATTGCATTATAATTATAACCTTAAATTGCAAGCTTCACCCTTGTTGGTGTTAGACTGGTGGCAGCTGATAAAACCCGTTTGCTCTACTGACGTCTAACCCCTGGTTAGCTCAGTTGGTAGAGCGCTCCACCTGTAATGGGGAGGTCCCGGGTTCGATACCCGGACCAGGCGGATTTTTTCGGTCGCTCACCAGTCACCTAGCTGTGTTTGGAGATTTATGTTTGCCCTTTGTCCCTCTTGTTCCCCTTCTCCAGGGTTTACTTTCGTCAATTAACTATAAGTTTTTTTTTTTTTTTTTTTTTGGGGGGGGGGGGGGGCGGCGCTGTAAAGCGGTTATGTCTCTTTATATTGACCCTGAAATCCTTATGCCGGCTTATTGGAGCTACCTTCTATTACCTCCGTGATTTGCCTGGGCTTCCAATCAGCGTAAAAAGTTAGCACTGTCGGCAGGGTTACCGAGCAATGAATATTTTTATTCCTCAGTCTTAGGCGAGGCGAGCTATTCCGTAGTTTCCACGGAAAACAAACGATAGCGGCATAATATCCATCGCCGGACTTTGTTTTCTCATGGGGATTTCTGACTCGAAGAATCACGTGGATTGTTTTGCATCGCAATGCAGCTCGGAATCATTTAGGCCGTAGTTACAGAGCTCCACGATTAGACAGGAGACACGTTGTTCGCTGCAGACATAATAGGCAGTTTTGGAGAACCGTTTTCGGCACATCCGATACATTGGGCCCTCAGGTACGAACTGCGCAAATGAGCCTTCTCAGGCAGCGCATGCGCAGTCGGTACCGGAGGGCCCATCGTACCGTATCGGATGTGCAAAACGGTTCCTGTTGCCTCAAACTCCCTACCGACACTAGTATCTGAGGATAGGCATCAATCATGTTCGAATCATGCTTATTTCTTACCTATGTCTGCGTCGAACATTTCTGCAGATAGTTTTTGTATGGCCAATATGACATAATGCAAAAAAGAGGCACTCCTGATACACGGTCTCCAGACTGTCTTTCGTATGATCAATACGCGGAGTGACCGCTGCTTTGGAAAGCAATAAGAAACGATACGCCTTTCTTTCACGTAGGTAAACGCATGTGCCCCGGAGAAACTCTGGCCACCGTCGAGATCTTTGTGTACCTGACGAGCTTGCTGCAGAAATTCAGGGTCCTTCCCGAAGAGGGCCACAACGTTTGCCTGGACACCGAGACGACGTCCTTCAACATCCCCAGACCTCAGAAACTGCGATTTCTTACCCGACATTAATTAGGAAAGGGGGAAAAAATGTGATGGGTAACTAACTAAGCTTGTTGGTGATCGTTAAACATGATGACAGAAAGTGCACGAAAGGAAACAACTATAAGAATAAACGCGATAAAAACAGACGCTGGCTCACAACTGACATATTTGAGCGTCTGGAACGTATCCTCGCACCGTAAAACGAGCCGTAAAAATCGGCGCCTGCTAGAGAAGTTCTCAAATTGCACCGAATATGAATTTATACTCGTGCCACACGGGCAACTCGAATGCCATTTACAACGAATGACATTCGTGTTATCGACGAATCGGCTCGCGATCTGTCGCGCGTGGAATGCCCCACGCTGGAGTGTCGCGCGCTGATTGGCCGATCGTTCAAATGTCATTCGTTGTAAACGGCATTCGAGTTGCCCCTGTGGCACGGGCATTATTAGACTGTGCATTCTATTTGGAGAAATCATAAAGCAGAGCTCACTTCCTTTGAAATTTAAGAGTCACACACTTTCCAGGGTCAATGGTGGTCGTGTTTGCAGACGAACAAGTTAGCGATGGCTGCAACTAGTAGCGCCATCTACCGATAGGAGCTGCGAGCGGACGGAAGAGTGTGTCATCTGCTCGCTGAGCCTATTGGGAGATGGCGCCAGAAGTTACAGCCATCGCTAACTTGGTCGTCTGCAGACCGTACCGCCAATGGCCCTGATAAAATTGTTGCTCGATTTTTTTTTTTTGTTTTACACGAAGGCAACAGCGCTTTAAAATTTGACCGGGCAAAATGCAGGGTTCGGGCAAATTTTGACCTTTTTACGTCGATATTCACCATCTTTTGCCGCTCGTTTCATAGTACCAAAATATAGCTCATAAAAACTAATTAATGAACTTTTTAGTGCAAAGAATCTTACGGTTCCAATTAGAAACAAGCTGATCAGTGTCATCGAAAACACCCAGATCAGTCAATTTTGGGTATGAGGATGCGCTATGCACCAACCAGCGTCCCTGGCGTCATGCCGCTGAGGTGGCGCTGCTATCGGCACACCCTAAGTAAAAATTGCGTCATCAAACACGTTTTTGTCGCATATACTACACCCCAAAACTTCAGTTTGTCGTACAGCCCACTGACGTCGAACAGACGACCCCAACTTTTTCGAGGGGCTTGATAACGGTGCGATATGACTTATTAAACTGCTAAAATACGTATCAAAGAATAAAAAAAAAAAAACACTTGGTTATTGCAGTAGGGCTAAGAAATCTGTGATTATATGCTCGTATTAAGTAACAGGTGCCTTATCTATTTTAATAAGTCGTACTACTTGAATGTCAAGCCGCTCGTGAAAGTGGGTACCGTCGGTTCGACGTCATTACGTTGCACGTCGAACGGAAGTTTCGGGGTGTCTTATACGGGACAAGGGGTGTATGAACAAACACTTCGATTTTTTTCTGAGAATGCAGGGCGCGTTCACAGACGCTCCACTTTATATGAATCCTTCGCACGTGCATTTCCCCCACCTCGTGTAGGCTCGTTTGCACACAAAGACGTTGGCCCATAGGTACCACTCGTGTAGAAAGCGCAATGCTGGGAATGCGACAACGCGAATGGAAGAATATCATCCACATTTTTTACATTCCGGAAAATCGTTTCTTTTTTCTCGACCTTCTAGGAATTTTTAAACGTCGCCGTTGAGGCACTTGGTATATCAGTTGGAGTCAGTGTCAGAGTCATATATAGAGAGAGTTTGGCCATTCATTGGTAAGTATAGGGGCAAATGAGGAGGCGCCATTGGCCGAAAGGGGGCTCGGCGTGTTCAAGGGCGTATTCACAAACTCGAATGCGGCGAGGCAGAAGCCGCGAACCCTGGCGGTGGTCGCGAGAAACAAAATTAATAAGTGCGCCAAAGTAACTCTCGATGACTGAAAGATATGGTGTAGGTGATTTGTCGATCATGGTCATGCAAAATGAAAATTTCTAGCAGAACGATCGACGTGATCGAAACAGAGCTTTAGCGGCACATTATTTTCTTGCAAGTTTTTGCATGATCATAATCGAAATATCATGTGTAGCGTATTTTCAACCACAAAGAGTTACTATATTTTCCCCCTATGCCCTTATTAAGACTGTTTATTGCTAGCACCGATAGGGAATTCTTTTCGATTTCTGGCTGTTTGTTTGGGTTGCTCCGCGAGGTTCATTGTTATTGGTTCAGAGAATGCTCAGATAACAAGCTCTTATTGGTTGTTGGCTGCGGTCGGCTGCCGTTTCAACGCAACGGTGCGTACAAACTTCGCGCGTAAGCGCTGCGCAGCACTCCGCAACACCTTTAAGCCTGTTTCATGTGGAGCGCGAAAAAAATCGGTGCGGCAGCCGACGCAGCGACTGCGATCGCAATGTTTGGTTTCACATGCTCCAACAACCGCGCGATTTCTTTCGGCGCGGCCTGCTCTTTGAAGACGAAGAGCCGGCGCGTCCGTCTCGGAAAAAACAACAAAAACGTCTTAAATCACACAAATGTTTGACGAGTACAAAATGTAACTAGAAATTTCTAATAATTAAGCATGAAACCAAAAGCTTTTAGGTGTCTAAATATATTTTCGAATACGCAGCTATCACGAATAAAAGCTGGCTAATAAACGGCTGGTTGACGAGAAAGCGATCGCACCCACTCTGCGACAAAACACCAACTTGGTGGAAACCAGTCGCAGAGCTGCTGCGACAGTACGACTGCGATTTTAATCGCACATTTACTGGAAATCGCACCGATTTCGGACGAGAATCGCAGCATGTGAAACAGCCTTTACGTTACGGAACGCACCGCGTTCCGCCGCGTTTCGTCCTTCAGCCCGTAGTCACGCAGCCCATTTTTTGTCTACGTCAACCGAACTGGTTAATAGTTAGACGAGCAGATGGCGAACAGTAGAAGTTAGAAGTTAGAGATTTGTGTATAAACCTTAATCCTAAATTCGTTTAAAGATCTATATAGACAATAAGAAAGCAGGCCACAAGTTTAAAAGAAATTGCATGTTTTCTTCATTTATGTAATTGAAGGCAGCAAACCAAACTTTTATTTGAATACGTGCCATCCTTCACGCCGATTGAAGCTCATTTTCCGATGAGGGACGCATTGCTTGCCACTGTCTATGTTGTGCTGAAAGACATCGTAACAAGATATAACAAAACCACAACTTCCGGTCCCAGTCCTTTTGGCAAACTATTTGCTCGATGATACGTGCATGTCCGGCATTAAATACGCTTACATTATGCAGCTTTATTACATCTGTCCAACATCCATCGCCAGCCAGCGAGGAAAAAAATCAAAGATGGCGAAAGCACCGAGAACGTGCCGCAGTACTCTCACATTCTACATTCTACAGACGCCACGAGCATTGGAGGACATTCTACTTTTATACTAGTAAATACACGAGCGTTTTTAGGCAGCTAATGTAATACTGTCAATCATGATGATAGCAATAGTATAGGTAAAGCCAACGCATGGTTTCGACAGTACCATTTATTAAGGTTAACCAAAGATTTATATTGCATTTTGATATTCGTCATTTGTTTCTTCTTCCTTCTGTCCAATTAGCTCGGTGTAAACCAGGGTGGAAAAAATCTCAGGATATTTTAAATATAATAAATCAAATCTCGTTGATTTAAATTGTATATTTAATTTCAGTCACACTTCTTTGATTTAAAACAGGTTAATTTTATTAAAATCGGCGTAGCTAGATAAAAAGTATTTATTTATCGATAAATATATATTATACATATCTGGTTTATTTGATTGACCAATCCATCAGATTATTGAAAGCGAGGAAGACGAAATAATGAATGTACATTTAACGTTCACTTTATTTAACGACTTTTTTTTTTATTTAAGTCACACCATACTGAAACATAAGCGGCTTGACTTTTTTAGTGAATAAAAAAGTTTTAAAAGCGATTTTCACATGTTTTTTTGTGCAATATGATGGCACTGCTTTTATATTTTCCGATTTATTTGTGAGCGTTATGATATGCTTGTAGTAAAACAACCCGTGACTGATTAACGATGTAGACGGTAGACACTCAACGTTCCGATTTGCTCAGATGCGTTTTTGCCCTATTCAGCCTGCTAGTCTTTCTTTCTTGATGATTATTTTATTAAGATAGAAAACAAATGCACATGAAAATCCCTAAAAAGAGAGCAGGGTAAAAAGAAATAATTATGTTGACAAAAAAAAGATTTATTTTATTTGAGGCACATTTATTTAATTTAAATCCGACTATTTTGATTCAAATCAGACTAATATCATACATAACACTGTAGGTATAAAATAGTTTTCAATCGCTAAATTAATTGTTAAACATGGCAGATGGATTGATCAGTTGGTCGGATCATTAAAAACAATGCGGAAGAAAGAATTACTGTATATTTAAACTGTCGTTTGACAGAGAGAGAGAGAAAACGTCGTTTTTTAATGCCATGCATGGCTGCTCTTGCTTTAAAGGAATACTGAACGAAACAATTTAATGTTTATAATAAGTGTCGCACACTCTAAAAAAAGCCCGTGCGTCTACTTTTCCGCACAACACTCGGAGAGCCAATCACCGCAACTTATGGAGGCAGCTCAGCGAATGACGATGCCGAAACATATGTTTAGACCAAAAAGCACAGTATGAGTTGTGACATTAGGCAATGCAAGCGTGACGTTTTGCAATTGTGACACCAGACACAATCGCAAGGATTCCAGTCGGCAGTCCGAGGATATCGATCACAGGTAAGCAAATGGCGGTCGCCGTACCTGAATACCGGATGCTAGGAGGAATAACTGGTCACCGCCAACAGCTGACCAGTGCGTTGAGTGCCCCCTAACAGTGGTCAGCGAAGCCGTATCATAGACCGTTATCCTCGTACCAGTAGCCATGTCCGCATGGAAGAGACGTGCATAACATGATGGCGGACAGTATGTAAATACCTGTGTCGAAAATAGACCTTCGTACAGCGGTGTATTCTCGCTTTTTTTAGTCTTTTTTTTAGTAGAGTTGTTTCGGCATTTCGCTTCCTTTCAGCGCAAACGCAAGTCGTTTTATTA